TTTCCCTATTTAATTATGCCCGAGTTTTTCAGCCGCCATTTTCTGCTCCCAAATGATGCCATTTTAGTTTATAGCAATAAAATTATATCTGAAATTAGCAATAAATGAATGATATAATGATATGTCGTTTTACTTATGATGGATATACCTTTAAAATTGTTTTCCTTCTTTTTTTCTTTAGTATGGTGTAAGAATATTTGTGATGACTTCTTTCAAGGACACCTGTTGCATAGAGATTATTCCTCATTTTGAGAAGCCAAAAGGAGGTAAGATTTTCTTCCATCTGTTCTAAATTTTCCTTTTGCTTTTTGGGTCTCATTTTCTCTTTAAATTTTTTTGTTTCCTTTGTTAAACCTTGACAACTTCACATCACATTGTTTCTTGAAATCTTTCTGAACCTTGACCATATTTTAACATTCTTTTATAAGCATTGGTGCATTCACAAGATGATAATAAACAAAACTGTAACTTTGGTATTCTGTTATGTAGAAACCTAATTATGGAAATTGTTTTAATGAAGTTTGATTTTTGTGTCGTGTGATCAATATTTTGTGTTATACTTGTTCCACGAATTTTTGAATCATTGATGACTTTGGCACTTGGGCACTGATTGCTTTACTACATTTTTTCATTGTTCATCAATCATATATGATCAACTCGCATTGTCTATTTGTATTGCAGTGATTTTCCTTAGTTTTTGGGCAGAGGTGCATTACAACTCCATCTATCCTCAAGGAGGTAATTTTACAAAATTTCCATATTCAGCTTTAATCAGTTTTAAAACAACTTGGTTGGAGTATGATATATTTGATTGACAAATCCTGTGTATGGTTAAATTACCACCATTTATCTCTAAAATGAGTCTTTGACTCCCCAGGTCAATTGGAATTGTTATCTGTTAGCATTTAGATATTTATTTTCCAAATATTTGGCATGGGGTTGGTTTATCATATATGTATTATTGACCTACTGATTCAGATATACCTTCAAATGAGTCGAGAAAGAAGAAAAGGTGGTGGAACTTTGGGACTAAGCATTAATAGCAGACCAAGAAACAGCTCAAGAATGTACCCAAACGTTTGGTGCCTTTGCATTTTGAACTATTAGCCTGTTTCGATAAATATTTAAAAGTGCTTTTGAGAATTTCTCTACTAAAAAATACTCTTTATTTTTAATAGATAAATTCTCAAAAACGCTTTTAACTTATATCTAAACAGATTTTATGTATCAAAATTCATCCAAGAGTCACCCACCAGCCAATAAGGATGCTTTCAACTCAGCAGGGATACCGAACCTTTAGGGTGCAATAGAATAGCCCTTAGTTTATATTTCCATTGCTTTTCCGGTTATTTTTGTATGACTAATTTGATTTTCATATTTATTAATTATAAAACTGGATGTGCTGAGGCAGCTTCATCCCAATGACATGTTATACATAAAAGGGTTAAAAGTTATAGCAATTTATCTAGTTGGTTTCTTCTTGACCGGCTTATAAGGTGAGGGTTGTTTTCCACTTATATACTATTTAATTGCCTAATCTCTAGTTAATGTGGGACTTGGGTTTTTCTCAATACACCCTCTCACGTCCAGCACTATTGGGTTTGGTACGTGGATAAATGGTGGGTGACCCTTTTTAATGATCTAGGATTGGCGGGACTTGGGTTTTTCCCAATACACCCCTTCATGCCTATGGCGCATGCATTAATGGTGGGTGACCCATTTAAAGTGGATCTAAATGGCTCTGATACCATCTTAGAATAGTGGATTTAAGCCTAATTCAACCCTACAAAACCGGTTTATAAGGTGAGGGTTGTTTTCCACTTATATACTATTTAATTGCCTAATCTCTAGTCGATGTGGGACTTGAGTTTTTCCTAATACACTCCCTCACGTCCAACACTATTGGACTTGGTACGTGGATAAATGGTAGGTGACCCTTTTTAATGATCTAGGATTGGCGGAACTTGAGTTTTTCTCAATACACCCCTTCATACCTATGACACATGTATTAATGGTGGGTGGTCCATTTAAAGTGTATCTAAATAGCTCTGATACCATCTTAGAATAGTAGATTTAAGCCTAACTCAACCCTACAAAACTGGCTTGTAAGGTGAGGGTTGTTTTCCACTTATATATTATTCAATTGCCTAATCTCTAGTCGATGTGGGACTTGGGTTTTTTCCCAATACACCCTCTCACGTCCAGTATTATTGGGCTTAATACGTGGATAAATGGTGGGTGACCCATTTTTAAGAATTTAGGATAGCTCTGATACCATCTTAGAATATTGGATTTAAATCTAACTCAACCCTACAAAACCGACTTATAAGGTGAGGGTTGCTTTCCACTTATATACTATTCAATTGTCTAATCTCTAGTTAATGTGGGACTTGGATTTTTCCCAATATCTTGGTTGACGAGTAATAAAAATATCAATAATATTAAAGAAATTAATCCCTATATATTAAATATGAGTTTTTAGGAACTTTTTTTACAACAAAAGAGTTTGTAGACAATTTTTTTAACTTTTTTTATAATTCAATTTTTATTTATTATAATAATTATGAATTAAATATTAATATTTTAAAATAATTTATCAATAAATAAAAATAAATTTTTGTTATTATACAAATTATTTATCATAAATTTAAACTATAAATTATATGTTTAAAATATTTGTGTGTATTAATTTAAAATATAATTTATATATTCAAATATAATATATATATATATATATATAATTTTAATTATGTATAATAAACATGTCTATGTATTACACAGGTTAAGATACTAGTAAATAATTAATTATAGTTAAAAGTTAGTTAATTATTCACAGATTTAAATTTTATATTATAAATACTCTTTAAATTAAATGGTTTAACATTTAATGATATTATACTTAATTGAGGGGCTAATTTTTTCACTATCGAGTATAAGTTAGATAGTTTTTTTTTGAGGGGGTATAAGTTAGATAGTTAATAAATACATTTATTTATTAATAAATTTCACAACAAATAAAGGCTATTAAAAAAAATTACAATTGATACATCAATATTAGATTTATATTTCTTATAATTAGAAAAGAAAAAGTACTTGTTTGTTATTTATCTAAAAGACAATTGTTTTTTCTTTATATAAAAGACAGAAGAAGTACTATCACCAAAGTTTGTTAGATTAAAATAACGTGTAATTATACTCAGATTGTTTTTTTGGATATGACGATCATTCTTCATCATTAAAAGTTTAAATTTTAAAAATGTTTTTAATCTTTATAATATTTTTTAATATTTGATCTAGTTATTTTACTTGAGGTTTGGTTTCTAAGTTCATATAATTTTAAATTTATTAAGAATTGATCGTTTTCAAGATTACATTTTATTTTCGGTGCTTACAACATAGACTAATTTGTAGCGGTTTTAAAGTTATAGGAACTGAATTACATGTATAAAATATAGTAACTAAAATTAAAATCGAGAAAAAAAAAACTTAAGATAATGACGTATTTAAAGCTTTTGGTCCTTACACGAAAGATGTGATTCACTACTCCCCAAACTTTTCTAAATGTTTTTTATATATACTCATATATATATATATATATACACCGTATGGACCCGAGGCCGGACCGAATCGACCGTGCTGGTTCGATGCCGAAACCGACCCGACCAAATCGACCGAAAACCCGAATCCAAAAATAATCGAACCTTATACCCGAGCAAACCGATCTCTCACGAAATAGAAGGGGTCGGCTTGCTCGGTCCATCCACGGGACTCCACCAGTATGATTACGAAAGGATTAATTCGAGTAATGAGCCAGATTAGCCCCCTAATTTTTCGGGGTACAGTTCCTAATCACGGCCCAATAAGGAACACTATAAATAGACCCCCTTCGAGGTATATAACTAACTTTCAACTACCGCATTTATTACGCCGAGCACTGACTTGAGCATCGGAGTGTCTTTGCAGGCACCCCCCACCTTGCTCCAGACTACTCGGATAAAGACGAGAAGATCGAGACCCGAAACGACCCATCGCAGCTAGGATAATTGGAGTGTGTATCCTAACACAGGAACATTTGGCACCCACCGTGGGGCCGAAGAGACGTTTTCAGCCCCTTAGAACTCTACGACTGAGACCGAGACATGGTAGTAACCCGCAAAGGACCTTCAACATCGACTCAACTGATCCCTAATCCCGAGAACAATCCCGTTATGGCTGGCCAAGAACGATATCCGTACGGAATGCCCCAAACCCAACCGGAGCCTGTGATACAAGAGGTACGGCCCGATGCCGACCAAGCCCAACCCAATCTCCAAAATGAATTTCGCGCGTTGCGCGAGGAAATGGCAGCGATACGAAGACAGAGAGAGGCCGACGCCAAGGAGTTGGCTGAACTGCGTCGACAAAACGCCGAACTCCGAAATCTGAACCAAACCTACGTGCCGACTACCCCGACTCTTTTGGAGGAGTCAGCCTATCATGCTCCGACCGACCAATTTACTCGCACACCGATAACCTCTTTGATAGGCAACAAGGCCGACACCACCACTCACTCACTAAGGCATCCTTTCTCCCGAAGGATAATGGAAGCAACCTTGTTAGACCACTGGAAAAACTTGCCGATCGAGAAGTATGATGGGTCGACCGACCCGAAGAGCACTTGAACGTTTTCCTAACACAAGCAACCCTCTCTACTCAAGACGACTCTGCTTTATGCCGAATATTTCCCACGTCGTTGAAAGGAAGGGCCCTGAGTTGGTTCACGAGGTTGCCGAGCTCTTCTATCGACTCGTTTAACGAGTTGTCATCCCAATTCACCCTCCAATTCGCGACGAGTAAACCGTACAAGACGACCTCGCTAGCCTTAGCGGGGGTTCATCAAGAGAAGAAAGAAAATTTGAGAAGTTTTATGGACCGATTCAGCAAAATCGCCATGGACATCGGCGACCTCAACCCGGCCGTGGCAATGGATCGGCTAAGCACTGCCCTCAGGCCGGGGCCTTTCGTGAATAGCTTGTGCAAGAAGCCTCCAGTCGATATGAATGATCTCCGGCGCCGAGCCGAGAAGTATATGCAAATGGAGGAGCTTGCGGAGACCCGAAACCAGGCTAGGGCTAAGGAAGGCTATGGCAGGAAGGAACCCGGCCGAGATCCGATGAAAAAGACTAATGCCGAGCCTTCGAACGCTCGCCCCCCAAGAGGACCACGCTACACAGTGTATACTCCCCTTAATGCGAGTAGGGCAAAGGTGATGGAGCAGGCCCTCGCATCGGAGATCCTTGTGATGCCGAAACGGGCGAACACACCCCCTAGGGTCGACAAAGCCAAGACGTGTCGATTCCACCGAAACAGGGGACACTCGACGGAAGAATGCTCAGCTCTAAAAGACAAGCTTGAGGACCTTATCAAATAGGGCCACCTCAGAGGCTTTGTCAAACCCCAGGGCCATCAGTCAAGGGAAATGGACCACCACTCTCAAGCTCGCCAACCGAGAGATCGACGTCGCCGATCCTGTTCAGTGGAGAGGCAAGATCGGTCACGGCATTCCAGGGAAGGCAGTGACCGACCACGGAAGGTGATCAACACAATAGCCGGAGGCTTCGCCGGGGGCGGCTCCACCTCTTCCGCACGAAGGCGACACCTTCGCGCAGTCCGATCAGTGAACAGTGTGAATCAACCGAGACTGCCGATAATGCCACCTATCACCTTTTCCGACCGGGATTTCCGTGGTGCCGATCCCGTCCAAGACGACCCCATGGTGATTTCGGTCGAGATGCACAACTGCATTGTAAAGAAAACATTGGTCGACCAGGGAAGCTCGGCTGATATCTTGTACTGGAACACTTTCGTGCAGCTGGGAATTCTGGAAGAGAGCCTAGAACCGTATCACGAGCCACTAGTAGGATTCGCCGGCGAAAGAGTGATGACGAGAGGATGCATTGACCTGTACACCCGCTTTGGTTTCGACCAAGAGTCTTCCCGAGAGATAAAAATCCGTTACATCGTGGTGCATGCGAGTACATCTTACAATATCTTACTCGGCCGACCCTCCATCAACGCGCTGCAAGCCATCGTGTTGACCCCTCACCTATGCATGAAGTTCCCGTCGAGAGATGGGCAGGTAATAACCGTTCACGCCGATCAGAAAACGGCAAGAGAATGTTATCTCTCCAGTCTAAAGGTCCAACCCATCGCCGACCCCCCGTCGACGGCGAAAGGTGTTAACGTAATAAGACAGGAGATGACGAAAGGTCTGGACCTCGACCCTCGCCTAGGTGAAGAAGAGCGAATCGAACCGGCCGAAGACCTCGTTTCTTTTGAACTCGGACGGACCCTCGAGCAGGTCACCCATATGGGATCTCAGCTGAATAAAGACGATTCGAACCAGGTGAAACGAACGGTTCGAGATAACAAAGATCTGTTCGCGTGGACGGCGTCTGACATGCCGGGGATCGATCCTAAATTCCTGTGTCACCGACTAGCCGTATGTCGAGACGCCCGACCAGTCGCACAGAAGAAAAGAAAGATGGGCGACGAGAAGAGGAAAGCGGCCGATGCCGAGGTGAAAAAATTGTTACAGGCTGGATTCATAAGGGAAGTCACCTACACCACCTGGCTAGCTAACGTGGTTCTGGTCAAAAAGTCGAGCGGAAAGTGGAGAATGTGCACCGACTACACCGACCTCAACAAGGCCTGTCCCAAGGACGCCTATCCACTGCCTTGCATCGACCGACTTGTTGATGCTGCCTCCGGACACTCCATATTTAGCTTCCTCGACGCCTATTCCGGTTACAACCAGATAAAGATGCACTCGGCCGACGAGGAGAAGATGGCGTTCATCATTGAGAACGCCAACTTTTGTTACCGAGTCATGCCGTTTGGACTGAAGAACGCCGAGGCCACCTACCAAAGGTTAATGGACAAAGTGTTTCGAGGTCAAATCGGCCGAAACATTGAGATTTATGTGGACGACATGGTGGTGAAGTCCGATTCCGTGGCCGATCATGTGGCCGACCTAGCCGAAATCTTCGATGAACTATGCAAGCACAACATGAGACTCAACCCCGAGAAGTGCACCTTCGGAGTCAAGGGGGGCAAGTTCCTAGGGTTTATGCTTTCGGAAATGGGGATAGAGGCAAACCGAGACAAGTGCTAGGCCGTGTTGGACGTGCGAAGCCCGAGCAACCTCAAAGAATTACAGCGACTGTCAGGAAGATTGGTTGCGCTGTCCCGATTCCTCCCCCGTTTGGCCGACAAGATCAGTCCGATGACGAAGCTCTTACGCAAGGCTTCGACATTCTCGTGGAACGAAACGTGCAAAGAAGCCTTTGTAACATTGAAAGCGACCTTAGCGACGCCGCCGATCCTCACGAGACCAGATCCTCTAAACCCACTACTCGTGTATTTGGCCGTTTCCGAAGAGGCGATCAGCTCGGTTATAGTGCAAGAAAAAGAAGGCACCCAAGCTCCCATATATTTTGTCAGCCTACTCCTACAAGATTCCGAAACCCGATACCAGTTGATCGAAAAGGTGGCACTTGGCCTAGTACACACTTCCCGACGCCTACGACATTATTTCCAGAGCCATCGAGTAGTCGTTCACACCGACTGTCCGATCTCAAAAGTCTTAGGCAAGCCTGAGCTCGCCGGAAGAATGATGGCCTGGTCGGTGGAGCTCTCACAATTTGACATAACCTTCAAACCGAGAGGACCGATCAAAGCTTAGTGTCTGGTCGATTTTGTGAACGAGCTCCACCCCCACGGTCATTTCGAGGAGCAATGGTGGACCCTCCACGTGGATGGTTCGTCAAATTGCCGAGGAAGCGGAGCATGTGTAATTCTGGAGGGACCCAAAGGGATAGTTTTGGAACAATCCCTCCGCTTTCGGTTCAAGGCTTCCAACAACCAAGCCGAGTATGAAGCCCTACTGGCCGGACTGAGACTAGCCGAAGACATGGGTGCCTCGAGAGTCAAATGTTTGACCGACTCCAAAGTTGTGGCCGAGCAGGTCGACGACAATTTCCAAGTAAAAGACCACAATATGATGAAGTACTATCATGCCTATCAAAAGTTGAAGACGAACTTTCAGGAGGTGTTGGTCGAGCACATCCCACGCGAGGACAACGCCCGAGCCGATCAGTTGGCTAGATTGGCCGCGACTAAAAAACCAGGCCATTTGAGAATGATCATTCAGCAAGAGATCGACCACCCTAGTGTCGATGCAGAAGTGGTCGCAAATGTCAATGCTGACCTTGCCGATAAGGACGACACCCAAGACTGGCGAGCCGAAATCAAAACGTTTCTCATAAGTGGAATCACGCCGAACGATCCGACCGAGGCCAAACGGCTAAGAACCCAAGCCAGTAGATACGTTGTCATCGCTGACCAGTTGTACAAACGCGGGTTCTCTACCCCGTTACTCAAGTGCCTAAACCCCGCCGAGGCTGACTACGTGACGAGAGAAGTACACGAGGGTATATGCGAAATGCACTCGAGAGCGAGGACGACCGTCTCCAAACTCTTATGAGTCGGCTACTATTGGCCGACCATGAACACCGACTGCGCAACATTCGTAAAGAGATGCCAACCATGTCAGAGACATGGCAACTTGATTCATCAACCGGCCGAGCAGCTACATTCCTTTCCTCCAGCATGGCCATTCGCCACTTGGGGGCCGACATACTCGGACCCTTCCCAGTTGCCAAGGGACAATGCAAGTTCCTCATCGTCGTCGTGGATCTATTCACCAAATGGATCGAAGCCGAGCCCCTGGCATGTATCTCGGCTCATCAAGTCCAGAAGTTTCTATGGAGGAATATCATCACCCGATTCGGTGTCCCACACACCCTGGTGACCGACAACGGCCTTCAATTTACCGACCAGAAACTCAATGAGTTCCTAAACGGCCTGGGAGTACAGCACAAGGTCACATCGGTCGAACACCCGCAGACGAACGGTCAGGCCGAGTCGGGTAATAAAGTCATCTTAGCTGAGTTGAAGAAACGCCTTGGAGAAGCAAAGGGGGCATGGGCCGACCAGTTACCCGAGGTACTATGGGCCTACTGATGCACGCCCCAGTCGACTACACAAGAAACTCCTTTTCGCCTAGTCTACGGATCTGACGCAATGACCCCAGTGGAAATCGGGAAACCCTCGTTCCGCCGAGCCCACTACGACGAGTCGAACAACGAAGCCGAGCTCCGTGTAAACCTGGACACCGTGGAAGGCGTTCGAGACAGGGCACAAGTCGTGGCCGAGGCCACCAAGCAACGTTACAAAAGGAGATTTGACAGCAAGGTGAAACCTAGAGAATTCCGCAAGGGCGATCTTGTTTGGAGAGCCACAGGCGAGGCAAGGAAAGATCCGAGACATGGAAAACTCGCCCCAAACTGGGACGGTCCTTTCCGAATCCGACACAACTTGAACAACGGAGCGTACAAGCTGGAGCACCTATCGGGAGAACCAATTCCGAGAACCTGGAACTCCTCTCATCTGAAAATGTATTACAGCTGATGTAACGGTGCACTCTTTTCTTTGGCCGACTCTTTTTTCCCTAAGGAGGGTTTTGGGTGAGCAAGGTTTTTAACGAGGCACTTCAATAATAAAAGTTTAAAAATTTCATATTGTTTGCGTTTTTATTGTGTTTTAGGCCGAGCACTACGCTGCGCACCGACGCCGAGCAACTCTCGGCCGATCACTAAAACGGTGCAATCGAGCCTACAGGTTTCCCTCCCGAGCACCCTCCTCAACTAAGGATGTACCTAGGCCGAGCACTACGTCGCGCACCGACGCCGAGCAACTCTCAGCCATCACTAAAATGGTGCAATCGAGCCTACAGGTTTCCCTCTCGAGCACCCTCCTCGGCTCAGGATGTACCTAGGCTGAGCACTACGCCGCGCACCGCCGCCGAGCACCTCCGGGCCATCACAAAAATGGTGCAATCGAGCCTACAGGTTTCCCTCTCGAGCACCCTCCTCGGCTCAGGATGTACCTAGGCTGAGCACTACGCCGCGCACCGCCGCCGAGCACCTCCGGGCCATCACAAAAATGGTGCAATCGAGCCTACAGGTTTCCCTCTCGAGCACCCTCCTCGGCTCAGGATGTACCTAGGCTGAGCACTACGCCGCGCACCGCCGCCGAGCACCTCCGGGCCATCACAAAAATGGTGCAATCGAGCCTACAGGTTTCCCTCTCGAGCACCCTCCTCGGCTAAGGATGTACCTAGGCCGAGCACTACGCCGCACACCGACGCCGAGCAACTCTCGGCCGATCACTAAAACGGTGCAGTCGAGCCTACAGGTTTCGGGGTCGGCTTGCTCGGTCCATCCACGGGACTCCACCAGTATCATTACGAAAGGATTAATTTGAGTAATGAGCCGGATTAGCCCCCTTGGCTAAGCACACAAGTCGCTTTACTTTCACGTTGCGAAATAAACAAGCCAAAAACAAACGCAGAAGGTAAAATTCATTAAAGTATGGCCGACCAATCCGGCTACTTACAAAAAAAATCATAAACTACCGGTGCCAACGGCCAAAATTACAAAAAAGGCACTAACAGCCCAATTACAAAGAAAGAAAAAAATGCTAAGTCCCGACCCACTACACCGCAGCTGAACTCTCTGGATCCCCTTGGCCGACCACATCAATGATCGGATCGTCCTCCTCCTCGGTTGGTGGCACTGAAGGTTGGGTAGAAATACCTCGACCGGGGGCCTCGGCATCCGGCTCGGCCCCTTGAGTGAATTCAGCGTAACTTATGAATTTCCCCCCATAAAAGTCCCGACTAACATCGAAGTTAAAATCAGCCGGGACCTCGCAGTAGTGGTACGCTTGTTGGACGGCATGCCTAAACCCCGCATCGTGCTGCTCTAGAATCTTGTCGGTGGCCTCGGCCTCGAACTTAGCAGCTTCCTCCTTCAGCCGAGCAATTTCGCTCTCATAACTGGAAGCCTCGGCCTTCAACTTCTGAACGGCCAACTTCAGGTCGTCGACCTCTCTTCGGTGGGTGTCGGCGGCCTTCTTCAGATCGTCAGCCAAAGCTGTCACCTTGGCATTTGTAGCCAATGCTTCTCTCACCGTGGCCTCGGCCTCCTTGAGTCGGCCGTGGAGCCTCGACTCGGAGACGACATGCCTCATCATAACATGCTTAGCCACCAGGGAGGTCCGAGCATCCAGCTCACAGAACAGCTTATACTCGGCCTCCGTCGTCATGCTTTCCAGGTATTGCAACCCTCCCTCGGTTGTGAGGTCTAGGCTGACCAAGTTCTCGGTCTGCACCTCCGGAACAAGGAAGTTTGACCCGGCGACGACGACCGGAATGGCGAAGGCACCGCAGCCGGACTGCTCCAAAGACAATTGCTTCGCCCGCTTTGAAGAGGAGCTCGGACGTTCTGGCTCTATATTTTGCTCGGCCGCTCGCACCCGAGAGGTGCTACCCTTCTTCTTCGACTCACCTATGGGGATTAATACGTGAGCAGGCTGATCCCTTTGCATCATGAGGGCCGACCTCGCCGGCGACACTTGTCCACTGGCCTTCGCTTCTTTCGCCCTCTTGGCGAGCATGGCGGTCACATCTAGCTTGCCTCCGGCCATTAATCCTACAAAAACAAATTTTAACATCAATTCAACACACTGTTAAACTACCGAAGCCTAAAGCACATACCTAGCAAAGCCATCTCAAAATGAGATGTTTTTAAAATGTCTAAAAGGCCTCGGACAGGCAAGAGGAATGGGATGATCTTAAAGACCTTTTTCATATATTTTGTACATAGTTCCTTTGTATAGGTTATTTTTGCCTATGTATTTGTGAGGCACTTTACTTGCTTTTTCCTAGTGTTTGTATATTGTTTTTAAGGTAGGCTACTTGGAGAGTTTAGCTCCATTTAACCTCCTTAGTTGATACATTCATTTTGTATTTTTTTCAGTAGGGAAAAAAGGGTGGCATTTAGCAATGCTTGAGGGTGTGACCAGTAATTGGGTCAGAACTGGGCCTAGGCAAAATTTTGCATATTGGACTCATTTTGCTCCTAATTTTTCATAGATTTGATTTAGCTAGGTCTCATCATCATATGATGAACCTAACTAAACCAAATCAAGGATTTTTGAATTAATTCATGGAGCAAAAAGGACCCAAGGCCGCCTAGCCTTCTTCCTTTG